GGAGGACGCGGACGTGGAACACGACTACCAGTGTGACGCGCGCGAACTGGCGACGCAGGACGAGACGCAGGCTCACGACGCTCAGCAAGATCTCAGGTCGGCCCAGTGTAAGGAGAAGGACCAGGCAGTGGGGAGGCTGGCTGTAACTGCGACTTCAACTGGACAGGCGGTGGAAACGGTAAGGGAGGAGTAGGACCAGTAGAAGGCGGGAGACCAAGAACCTGCTCAAGTAGTGGAACGAAGTACGGCCGCTGCTGTGCAGCACCACCAGAACCAGCAGAGACAGCTCCAGCACCCCCAGCTCGAGCTCCTGCATCACCACTTGCACCAGCACTAGCAGCACCACCAGCAGGAACAGCTCCAGCGCCTCTAGCTCCAACTCGTGCAGCAGCACTAGCTCCAGCACCAGCAGCACCTCCAACAGGAACAGCTCCAGCGCCTCGAGCTCCAATTCCTGCAGCACCACCAACTCCAGCACCAGCAGTACCTCCGGCAAGAACAGCTCTAGCGCCTCCAGCTCCAACTCCTGTAGCACCATTAGCTCCGCCACCAGCAACACCTCCAGCAGAAACAGCTCCAGCGCCTCCAGCTCCAACTCTTGCAGCACCACTAGCTCCAGCACCAGCAGCACCTCCAGCAGGAACAGCTCCAGTGCCTCCAGCTCCAACTCCTGCAGCACCACCAGCCCCAGCAGCTCCAGTACCTCCAGTACGAGCACCTCCGAAACCAGCGGCTTCAGCACCTCGAGCAGCTCCAGCAGCAGCAGGACCTCCAGCTCCAGCAGCACGGCTCCAGCGCCGAGCAAACTACTCGCGCAGCTGCGGTGTAGAGAGTGGCTCCCGCCAGAACAAGACACCCGAAGGACCTCCAGAGGACAAAGTACATCCAGGCTTAGCACGCTCAGGCTCCACACGCTCAAACTCAGCACCTCCAGGCTCCGCACCCTCAGACTCAGCAACCCTAGGCTTAGCACCCCCAGGCTCCGCACCCTCAGACTCAGGGCCGCAACGGGGCGGCAGCAGGGTAGGGCCGCGACGAGCCGCGTCAAGGCAGGGCCGCGACGAGCGGCGAGGCCAGGCCGCGACGGGCGGCTAGGGCAGGCCGCGAAGGGCGGTGACAGGGCAGGGCCGCGGCGGGCGGCTAGGTCAGGGCCGCAACGGGCCGCGAAAGGGCAGGGCCATGTGGGGCCGTTAGGACAGGGCCGCTACGGGCCAGGAGGGCATGGCCGCTGCGGGCGGCAGTAGGGCAGGGCGCGCGACGGCGCTGGTGAGGCAGGCGCGAGGCGCGCTTCGGGCAGGGCAGGATTTTTTTTTTTATCGTGGTGGGCCCTAAAATAAACGTTCCCACTAGGGAACCTTCTCTGAAACTGTGTCAGAATTAGGAGTGAAGAATGACTAGAAACACAACAGTACAAGGTTTGTAAATGCAAAACCTAATTGGGCTGTACCCCTTAAGGAGTGCCCCACTACAGCCTAGAGCATAGTTCTGACAGGCCGGTGTGGTTGGCTGCTGTGGTGTAAGTAGTTTCCATCCGTAGCAAAGGAAGAATGGAGATTTCCCTGTGGCCACATGTGACGCGTTGTTTGTAAGCGAACTTAAGTGTCGTTAACTGTAAATGTCGGAGTATGTGGCCCTCAACAGCACATGCTCTCCTTCCTGTTGTTCTCCTTCAACACTTTCTCTTCCGTGCTGCCCTGCCTCAGTCACCCACTGCCCCCTCCTGTGCCTGTGCTTGAGTAGCTCGAGCTCGTGTCACAGGACCAGCTTTCTAAGGCTTGCTCCCCCTCACCAGGGCCGTGTTGGTCTGGTGCTCCTTCAGCTGTGCCCCCTTTTCGTTCTCCAGCACGAGAATCCGAACTTCCTTCACTCTCCACCTCTCAGTCTCCACCCCAACGTCCAACGTGTCCTGTTTCGCCCATTGCAGGTACACCTCCTGCCCCTCACTTGCTCCCTTTTTCTCTCTCCTTCCCATCCCCTGCTGCTGGCATTGCTCATAACGTCTGGCGTCTCTCAGCTGTGCCGTGTGTAGGTTTTCTAGCGCTGCTGGCATTATCACTCGGAGGTACCTTGTCCTGGCCTCTGACAAGGCCACCCAGTTTTCTATGGTGCCTGCTGTCACTGTATCCGTGAGGACCCGTGGTGCCCCCACAGGTAGCACCGGCTCACACCCAAACAGAAGGCTGCAGGGTGAATGGTCTCTCAGGGCAGCCTGCTTCCCAAACCTATAGCCTGCCGTGATCCAGTGTAGCTCATTGTCCCATTCCCACTTCCTTTTCTCCCCAGATGCCCGCAGCCCTCGCTTTAGCGTCTGTACTAGGCGCTCAGTCAGCCCATCACTCTGTGGGTGATACCGAGAGGTGCGCCGGTGGGTGATTCCTGCTTCCTCTAAAAGCTCCCTGAACTCCCCTTGAAACTCTGTTCCTTGATCGGTGAGCACCTTTGCACACGCCCCAAATCTGCATATTACCTGTTCCTTGAATGCTGCTGCCACATGCCTTGAGCTCTTGCTGGGGATAGCCCTCACCTCCAGCCACTTGCTCACGTGCTCTACCATGAGCATTATGTACCGTTTCCCCCCCCGACTCAGCGGCAGTTCCCCCGCCAGGTCCAAGGACCATCTGAAGCCTAACCCGCGGATGGGCAACGACTGCAGCTTGGCCTTGGCTTGGGTCAGGTTTGCTCGGCTCCTTTGGCAGGCCTCACATCCCTCCACCCACTTCTGCACCTGTCTGCGCATTCCCTCCCACCACCAGCCGTCTTCAACAGATGTACTGTCCTCTCATGCCCGAAGTGCCCCAGCTTTGAGTGCACCTTTATTTTCATTGCTTCCCTCTTACCTGGGGCTGGCACCAGCTTCTACCCACCCTCAGTCTGTATCTGCAACTGCTGCTGGTACCACCTGTAGTGGTGCCCCCTTTCTCTCACCCTCTCGCTCATCTCCTCGTCTGCCCCTGTCTCCCCCTTCACCCATCTCACAGCCTGCTCATCCTCCCGGATATCAGCCAGCCCCTTGCTCCTCCTGGCCCCGCTCAGCTCTACTTGTCTTGCCAGCGGCGCTAGAGTCACAGTTGGCTCTAGCGGTGGGGGGTTACGGGAGAGGCCGTCCACATGCTGCAAGGTTTTTCCTGGCCTTTGCTTGATTTTGAAGTCATACTCCTGCAGCTTCATTGCCCATCGTGCATTCCTGCCTGTTAACCCCGGTGTAGTCATCAGCCATGTCACTGGCTGGTGGTCCGTCACCAAGGTGAACTCTTGCCCCTGCAGATAGACCGTGAAGTGCCCCACAGCCCATACTGCCGCCAGTCCCTCCCCCATGTATGAGCTGTACTTTGCCCCACCTTCTCATCCCCTTCCACCTCCTGGCAGAGTATCGTGCCCATCCCTTGGCTGCTCCAGTCGATGTAGAGGGTGAAGGGTTGGTCCGCTGCTGGCAGCTGCAAGACGGTTGCTGTTTTTACTGCCGTTATCAGGTCATGCAATGCCCCCTTCAGCGCTTCCTCCCACTCCCATGTCTTGTCCTCCCTTAACAGCCCGTTCAGCACCTGCTGAAGTTGGGCACGAATCGCCGGTAGTAACTCAAGAACCCCAATACCGCTCTCAGCCCTGTCTTGTCCTTTAGTTCTCGCAGCCTATCCAGCACCACCACCTTTGCTTGCTGGATCCCGATCTGCCCCCCTTTCATCTCGTAGCCTAGATACTGAACGGTCTGCTCACCCCACCTACACTTCTTCGGGTGACACGTGAGTCCTGTTGCTTCTATTGCCGCCAGTGTCCTCTCCACATCCTGCAGGTTCTGCTGCTCGGAGGTGCTGAAGATCACCACGTCATCTATGTAGCATGCTGCACATTCTACGTCCCTCAGCACTGCATCCATGACTCTCTGAAACGCTGCTGATGCGTTCCTCAGCCCGAATGGCATGTAAAGCCACTCGTACAGCCCATCCGGCCCATGGAATTCAGTCTTCTTAATGTCTTCCTCCCTGAGTTTTATCTGATTGAACCCCTGCCGCAGGTCCAGTGTTGTGAAGAACACCCCCTCTGCTAACTTGTCAAATATCTCCTCCGCCATCAGCATTGGGTACTCGTCCGCCACGATAATCTTGTTGAGCGCTCGGTAGTCTCCGCACATCCTCCTGCTCAGGATCTCCCCTGTTAAGTCCTTCCTCGCTGCCATCACCGTTGGTGTGGCGTATTCTGATTCTGAGCGCCGGATCACTCCAGCCACTAGCAGCTCCTTAATCTTCTCCTCGCATATCTCTTCATCTCCGTTCGGCATCTTCCTACGCCGTTAGAACACAGGCTCTATGCTGCTTAGTTTCAGCCCCATCTCCTTCGCTTTGCACCTTCCCAGTTCTTGCAGTATGAAGGCAAAGCAGTTCCAGTCGCCCCCCAGTGTTTCGTCCAGGCATCCAAGATTGCTGATGAGGTGGCTGCTGTCCGAACACTTCACATCTTCCGCCAAATTTATAAGTCGGATGTAGTAGGTCAGTAGGAATTCTGTCCGCCCCCTCTTGAACTCCTAAAACTCCTTGATGCGCGTTGCCGTGTGTCCCGGGAATTGACACTGAAGCCGCTCCAGAAATGCCTCAGTGGGATCCTCCCCGTACCTCCCCGCCCTACACAGCAGCTCATCCATCCTCATGTGGTATAGCGTCTCCGCCTCTCCCTCCAGTGTGTTTGGCAGGCTCAAGAAGAAGTCTGTTGGGTCTATGCCTTGTCTTTTACAGCGGTATTTCACGTTCCCCACCTGCATCAAGTAATTCTTGAGGGCCGGCCCCACCCGCTGGTCCCCCGAGAACCTCGCCGGCACTTCCACCCGCATCGCGCTGGCTGCACTTCCCCGTCCTTCTCCCCATGATTCCCTGGCCCCTCCCAGCCGCTCTCCCTCCGTTCCTCTCTCCTTGGCCCTCTCCAGCCCTTCCCTGGCCTCTCGAGCCCGCTCAGCGCCATATGCCAAGCTCCCTCCTTCTGCTCTACTCTCCCGCTGATTCCAGCCCGGGTCACCGTGCCTCTCGGGCCCCTCTCCTCTTCTGCACGCCCTTGCGTTCGTGCCGGCGAGACTCGTGCCTCTCTCCACCCCACTGTGCTTGTCTCTCGCTGCCGCTGCCTTTCTGGCGACGGTTCCCATGCTTCTCCCCTCCCTTGCTGCCGATGATCTCCGGGCGAGCGCCTGTCTCCGCCGCCTTCTCCTCCCCGCTGCTGCCGGACGAGCGGCGAGCGGAATCCGCCGCCCATCGTCCTCTCCCATTGCGCTTGCGGGCCGGACGTCCGTGCCTCCCAGCCGCGCTCCTCTTGCCGCCGGCCGCGCCTCTCTGATGAGCTGGGCCCCTCCTTGCGTCCTTCTTTCCGCCGCCAGTGGTGGCTGGGGGCGCGTGGCTTGCCCTCCCATCCTCCCTTGCGCATCGACTGCCTGTCCGGCGATCCTGCGCCGTCTTCGCCCCAACCCCCTTGTGCTTGGCGCTTGTCGAGTGCGCAATCTTTCCTCTGACGCGCGCGGTCCCTCTACCTCCCCCTGGCCACGTTCTCCTTGCGTCCCCCCAGCGCCGGCACGCACGCCCCAGTCCCGCCGCTCCTACTGACCCGACCTTTCCGCGTAGTGCTCATCTTGATGGCTTGCATCGCGCCTGCGCGATTCCGGCCGTCCCAACCAAGATCCTTCCGCCACTGCCTGGCTTGCGCACCCGGCAATGTCCGCCTCTCCAGGCTCGGCGTCTCCGATCCCAGGCGCGGTTTCCTTGCCGTCATCTCCTCTGTCGGCGTCTTCGACCGACCGTTCCAGGTTCGCTGCGTCCTCCTCCGCCTCTTCCTCGCCAGACATCTCCCATGCTTCTTCCGTTTCGGCGGCTTCCCCTCCTCCGTCGGCGTCAAATCGCTCGACGCCCCGCCAACGGCCCCTCTCATCACAGCGGCGCCCGCGCTCTTTTGGCAAGCGGAACATTCCCACAGCGCGTCTGTCTCCGCTCCTGTATCCATCCCCGCGATCATGCTCTCCCCACCACACGTCTCCATCCGCGCTTGCAGCGTATCCTTCTCCACCCGCTCCCACGCTAGGCCTCCCTTCCGCCTGCCGGTCCCTAGTGATGGGAACTCTATCTGCGCGAAAATCCGGCCTTCGCGGCGAGCGCTCCAGAGATCGCCCGCGCTCGCGTGACGGCTCACCTCGTGCTCATTCCTCCTCCCGGCGACTAAACACCCTACCCCAACGTTCAGTATGAACGGGATTGCTCCCTCACCCCACAGGTTCCCTCTTAGTGCTGTGCCACCGCGTGTAGTAACTAGGATGACAGCCTTTCACTAGTATGAGAGAATACTGAACAATAAGCATCGAGTGGGTGGGCGTGGGTGACCTTACCCAACCTGGGCTTGCACATTTCCAATGTGCGACTCGAGGTTGGGATTCGTTCCAATCCCACATTTTGCCCTTCGGTCTTTTCCCCCTTCATCCCAACCGCTCCCACATATTTCCCCCTTTTTACACCCCTTTGCAACCGACACTTCGCTACTGGCTACACTTCCTACACTACTCCTTATCTATATACCATGCATTCATAGCTATTTCCTATACTACTTCACAGCACCGCACTCTACTGTTATTGCATATGCATCCCTTGCATATGCGATGACATAGGTCCCAATGGATGATGCCGTCTTTGCAAGCTGTAAGCAGTAACTATTCCACCACCTGATTGAGTTGTTCAGTATGTCCGTCAGTCTGGTGGTGGTACGCTAAAGACATCGCAAGCCTTGTCCCTAGCAAACCCATGAGTTCCCTCCGGAACTTACAAGTGAACTTTGGGTCTCTGTCCGAGATGAGTGTAGTGGGGATGCCGTGGATGGTGGTTATGCGGTCAAAGAAGAGGCGAGCTGTTGCGCAGCATTGGTCGGAATGAAGTGTCCCATTAGAGAACTTATCAATCACCACGACTATAGCGTCATGCTCTCGTGAGGTCGAAGGAAGCCCAGTCATTAATACTTTGCTATTTCCGCTAACGTCTTGTTGCTCCCAAAATGTCCTGCGTATGCCACGTCGTGGAACTCCTCCTGTATGAGTTGTCGAAGTGGGGCATAGTTTGGTACCCAAATATTTCCTGAACCCTTCCTTATAGCTAAGTCTTTCTCCCACTGTAACAGCTTCTGTTTTTATGTTGTAGCGATCTTTGCGTCCACACAGTTTCCATGTTGGAATAGACCTGTGAACAAAGGGTTCATCCCATCTAGCTAGATGCATGCTATATGCCCTGGGCGGCTCAGTGCGTCTGCCTTGTTTTGTAGCCCTGGCTTGTAGGCAATGTCGTAATGGAAGTATGTTTCCAGGAAGTCCATGTACCGTACTTGTCGTCGTGAGAACGTAGGCTACAACTTAAGGTATTTGGGGCTGTAGTGGTCAGTGTAGACTGCAGTCTTGGCTCCCTCTAGGTAACACCTCCACGCTTTGAAGGCTGTGACTATTGTTAAGGCTACTTTGTCATGGATTGGGTAGTTTATTTCAGCTTCGTGTAGCTTCTTAATGAGGTAGGCAATGGGCTGCAAACCGCGTCCGTGATCCTGCATGAGTACTGCTCCAACTGCCTGGTCACTAACGTCTGCTCCCACCATGTAGTCTTTGTCTGGATCTGGTAGGATAAGTACTAGGGCTGTAGTCAGTGCTGTCTGTATCCTATTTAGAGGGTGTATCCCTTTTCAGCAAGTTCGTCAGTGGCGCTGCTATCTTAGCGTACTGTGGCACGAACCTGTTGTAGTAGTTGGCGAAGCCTAAGAACTGCTCCAACTCCTTCACGTTCTCCAGAACATTCCACGTTTTTACGGCTTCGATCTTCCACGGGTCCATGTGTACGTCCTCGGCACTCACCATGTGCTTGAGAAACTAAACCTTCTTCGGAGAAAAGATGCTCTTCGATAGCTTCACGTAGAACTTATTTTTCCGTAGGTTCTCGACGACTTTCCGCGGATACTCCATGTGCTCCTTCATGTTCTTGAAGTAGATGAGAATGTCATACAAGTACACGACCACGCACTTGTCCAGCAAGGGCCGTAGGGTGTGATTTTTCTCCGCCTAGAATCGCTGGTGTGTTGCAGAGTCCAAACAGCATCACTAAATATTTGTAGCAGCTGTATCTGGTACGGAATGCCGTCTTTTGAATCGAATTATCTGCCAGTCACTCGACCGTATGTCCAGCTTCGAAAGTACCGTTGCACCACGGTTGGTCTAGAAGATTGTCTATGCGCGTTATGCTTTATTTGTTCTTTAGTGTCTGTTTGTTCAGTGCCTGGTAGTTGATGCACATCTGTGAAGTACCGTCCGGCTTTGGAGTGATGAGAAATGGTGCACCATAATGAGAGGTGGATGGGCGGATCAGTTGTCTGTCCAGTAGATACACTATCTGCTTCTTCATGTCAGTCAGTTTGGTCAGACTAAGGCGGTATCGTGCATGTGAGACGGGTTTCGCACCTGGTTCCTCCACCATCCCGTGCTCGTGGGCTCGCGCTGGAGATACTCTTGCACGCAGGTAGACCGGCATGATGTCTTTGCACTGCTCCAACACCTCCTATACTGTTGCAGCCAACTCCGAGTTCGGCTTCTCCTCCTCTATTGCTACCATCATAAGTGCTAAGTAACTCGTGTTACTCTTGATCATTGTCCGTTCGAACCGTGCAAGTGTCATTTCAAGTACATCCCCTGTGTCTTTCCAGCTTCGGTGCTCCACATGTTTCCCGTTGTAGATACATGCCTTCCGGTTGAACCAGTCAATCTCGGGGTTGAACCGCTTTAGAAAATCATGGCCCAAGATGAAATCCAATCCTTTGATGTTCATGATTAGCAACGTCGGCTTCCACCTTAAAAACGAGGGTCTAGATTTGCCTAGCTGAGGTTCAGAAGTATTTGTTTTGAACCAAGCTTGCCAACGCGAAAGTGTTGGCTGGCGAAAACCTGGATTTCATGTAGACACTTTCCCACCGCAGTAACAGTTCGCTAGGGTTTAGGGTTTTGGGTGGAAATGTGCACCGTCGCTTTAACACCCCCTATCTGCAGCTGCAGTGTTGACTTGCCGTAGATGGGAAGTTTTGTACTGTCCACCATCGTTGCTGTAAACCGGGTCTCCTCCAAGGACTCTCCAATTTTCTCCAACGTCCCGCAATCGCACATCGAGTGAGACACACCACTGTCCACAAGTGCCTTAAGGCGATGCCCCTTTGCAGAGCACCTCGAGTATTAGTGGTTGTTTCCACTCCGAGTAGCTGTAGATGGTCTTGCTTACAGGATCATAGGGTACGTCGAATATGTCATCCCTAGGTCCTGCGCTCGAAGATGCTGACTGAATATCAGTTTTCAACTGGGTAGGGCTAGAAGGATTTATCTAAGGCCGATTCAGCTTCGCATGGGCCTGGAACCTTCCCCTAGCCTTTGCAGCTGTGTAGGCTTTACTTGTGGGGAACGGTGGGAAGCCTTAACACCGTGCTGCTAGGAAGGAATACCAACTCCTTGGAACGCTTGACCCTTATCAATGCTCCGGAATGGGGTCCCCATTTTAACCGGTACCGGTATAATTTATTTCTCTCCCTTAATAAGGGCTTGAAAACCACGAGAAGTAATATTCTTAGTTTTAAGCATCTGTATAGGATAACTTGAGTGAATTCTTACTTGTCGGGGTGTACGACTGGAGTTTCCCGGTCCGTGCAGGGTGTTGTTTCGCGGAGTCTCCTTTTCTTTCGGCGATTTCCCCTTGTGACGGCTGGTCATGACGTATTACATTTGCGCCATCATATTGACAAAATTAGAAGAAAGAAGAGGATTGAACTAGCAGAAATGGGGATACAAATAGCAAACCCTAGAAGGGTTGTACTCGCTATAGAGCACCCCACTATAGGCTAGAACATAAGATAACATTCTGACACATATTATCCTATTTTCGCTATCTCCAAAGTCGCCACATTGACCGTTTTCTTGTTCGGGGGTGCTGCAGTGTTCTTGCCATTAAGCTCCGCATGCCTTTTTTTCATTTTCTAACATGCCAAGATACAATGTCTTGTAGCGCCGCAAAATTTGCACGTATCATTTTTTGCTAACCGCTGCTTTGCATCGCCTTTGTCTTTCTCCATCGGGTCGGCAGTCATGGGTGGCGCGGATCGCTCCCTGCCACTATTTGGCTGGTTGCGTCGTGTTTCGTAGTAGATACTGTTCAATGCGTCGAACTGTTCGATCAGTGCTGCACGAAACTGCGCCCACGTCCCTTCGCCTTGGACAATTTTGTTGCTGATCCACTCTAGAGCAGGGCCTCGTAACAGTGTTGCTGCGAGGCGTATGCGCATTGCGGCTTGGGTGGGGCTTATGCATCCAACGGCTTCAAAGTAATTTCGAGTTCAGCTACAAATCAACGAATGTCGCTCCCTTCAACTATAGAATCGAACGCCTCTGGTTGCCTCGGCATCGCTGCTTCGAGGTTGCCTGTAGCTGTTGCCGTTGTCGTAGGTACAACTATTGATGTCTCCGCTGCTGGTGCAGTCACTGCTGCATTTGCCGCTGCGTTCACTGCTGCTGTGGTGGTTGCCGACTTGTTCGCGATTAACGCCTCAATTAACTAGAGAGCTGCTCGCATCTGGTTCATGTCAGTGTGCAACTCCGTAATGTTCCATACAAAATTATCACAATTTTCCTACATTTGGTGATTTTCAGGAAGACTTGCGACGAAAATAATTGAAATATGTGCGCTGGTCGACTTACTGCGAAGCGAATTGACTTCCGAATCAATGAGCGCAATTTTTTCATTTTCGTAATTCTCTCTTAGCCGAATTGGCCGTGGGATTCCTAGCAGGAGCGACAACCTGCCCGTAGATGACGGAGAAGGAGAGGAAGGGGGCACTAGACAAGGCCATGAACCTCAATGCACTGCATTGGCTCATCACCACCATGGCCGACCATCTGGATCGGAAGTGGTTGGA